CTTATCAGCCCCCGAGTTCCTCCCATACGCACCACTGCCCCATCCTTTTCCCCCACCCCATGGCACCCTGTGCCCTCCCAAGACATGGCTTCAGGGAACACCGCAGGGGGCTAGGAGGGCTGGTGTTGCACAACTGGTCAGGGCCTGTCACTCTCCCTACAATCATGGGGGGGGTGGGGAGGAGAGAAGGAAGAGGCAACATGGTGACAAGAAGGGGCACAGCTTGGGGCCTGGTAATGGGTAGTTCCCCCGCCGCCAAGCCCACTGGGACTCCCAGACCAGATTGTGCAATTGCTCAGGCCATAAGTGGCCCACATATGGGAGTTTGAGATCGCTTCCCTTTCTAAAAAATTCTCCCCTCCCCCCATCCTTCTCTAGTAGATTCTGGTGTCATCCCCCTTATAACTCTACATTAAGATAACCAAAGGTAGGCTTCTGCAGCCACCTTCTCAAAAAGTAACACTTTTAAATAGCTAAGTGGCCACCTGGGTCCTACAGCTGACTGTATGGGTGGCCATCAACAAAACCACCACAATCTAGGCTGCAATTTTAGATCAAGCACTTGTGACTCTCACGTGACTGAAACATGTCTCCACCTTACCCTAGTGAAACTAGTTTCCCCAAGCACAGCATCACAAGTTAAGTGTCTCCACAATGCATCTAAAAATAGTGTCGTGTATTCCTGTTCCTCTTCCCATTTCTGCTACAGAAGTCGTCTGAGTGCATGCACGTGCTATGAAACGAAGACCAGGAACCTATGACTTCTAGTGGCACACAGGCTGTCAGACAGAAATCTGTGTCACCTTTCAGGAAGGCCTCAGAGCTGCAGCACAACATGGTAATAAAATCCAACAGATTTCTTGGGCCCAATAACCTCATCCTTCACGTATTATTGCAATGTTTCAGTAATGGATCTCCTAGCCTTCATGAAAGACATGAGATATTCCCAGAGAGCCTTAGAAAGTACACATGCTGCTGAAAATACACAAGCTTTGAGAGATCCCTGACATCACACTCTCCTAATCTGATTATCTCATCCAAAGGAAGTAAAATACTTATCAGGAAAGTTACCAAACAAAGCTGGTCTGTCCCTTAAGACACCTGAACTCCCTTGGTTTTCAACTCATCTAAGTATAAGGCCACATTCAACAAGCTTATCCATTCACCCCAAACCCTCTACAACCCAGAAAATCCCCAAGGTTCACAGATTAAGTACAGAGGAAACATGTTAGAAAGCCTTTGATGCAAAGAAAAAAAATGCATACACAATACTCTGAATTCTTCTGCCAATAGTGCAAAAGTTGCTTACTTGATTGCATTACTGCCACAAAGGTGGCAAAGCAAGCTGCTGCAATCAACAAGGCAGAATCCCAACAAATTTAACTATTTTGTTTGGTCAACTCTCAAGTCAACTCATATCCAATCATCAAAGAAGGAGAGGTCAACATACTTCATTAATAAGGACTCTCAAGTGCATATGGAGCTAACTGGCATAAAAACACCAGTCTAACCAGATTGTATTATGTACTCAAGTATTCTCAATTACCATGCTGCTTCCTAGCCTCCTATTCCTACAATATAAAAGCACTTGTACTACAACAAACAGGGATGTTGTGTAAATTACATCAGAAGTGGCAAATATTCACCTTTCACTAGCAGCCAACTGTTGACTAAAACAAGTGGGTGTCATTTTCTAAGTCTCATGTGAAAAACAAATATACCTAAAATATGCACCATTTCCCTCCCTCTTACCAGCACTAATCCATAACCAACCTATGTTTCTCAGAATCAGACAATCTTTTCTACTGTACTGGGGACAGTATGTTTGGATTTTAAATGAATGACTAAATCCAATAGCTTCCAAGATATCCTGGTTACATTGGAACCTGCCAGAACACGAATCACTATACTGCAGACTTATTGAGGCCTGGTTTCTAGGTCAAAGCAGAAGAGACCAATGCATGGAAGTCACATGCGTGGCTTTCTACTGCAGTTCTGCTTTCAAGAAAACAAAAGCATCTCTTTACACTAGTTCTAGTTACTCATTTCAGATTCCCAGCTTCCAAAACCCCTCCAGCCATATTTCCATGCCAAAAATCAGACATTACTAGGTGTTGTTTGCACAGACGCTGCATCTGGATAGCCAAGTGCAGATATTATAGCAGCTTGTACTTTTAAGGTCAATATCCCTTGTGTATTAAATAGAGAACTTAAGTTTCATAGCCATGCTACTTCCTCAAGTCCTTCTTAAAAAAAGTAACAAACAAGTTTTGTGCATATAATCATCTATAATTTGGGTGCAGAGGGAGGCTGTTACTTGCATATATGCAGTGAAGTTGCTTTTGTGATTTATCTTTGTCTTTCCCACACATATACACACATGCGTACACAATCCAGCCAGAAAGGTGGCATACTACAAGTGATATTAATTGAAAAATAATGTCAAAACAGTAGTGTTTAAAAAAAAAACAAATAGTATTCCTTATTAAAGCCCACAGACAAGATATTATGCAGGAACGTAAATAAAACCAATTTTCAGAATGAGTTTTAAATTGACAATTTTTGACATTTATCGTAACTACAACGTCTCTTTACAAGAACTCATTTCATCCAC